GCTGTGCTTGGAGAACGGAGGAGAGGCAGACGGAAGAAAGGATAAGAGATAACATTCGAGAATGGGCAGTCATGGAGCTGCTGGACACACAGGAAAACAGAGTGCTGCCAGGAGGGAAGGAGATTTGTTGTCACAGTTAAAACTTTTTTTTTTAGGGGGAGGGGGGGTAAAGAGGTTAGATCTGCTGTAGTGTGACGACCAGACATAGCAAACTCACATTATATGAGTTGTGATACTGTGGAATATAATACTTGTGATGATGTAACCGTTAAATATGAGTCATCGTGGGGGGAAAAGGCGCTCATCAAAATAATGAAATTTTTAATCAAAGAACCCAGTATTTTCTGGCCGTTGGAAACGCTTTTTCAAATGATCTTTTTTTTCTCTTTTTTTTCGGCTCAATACCTTTGATTTTTTCTAAACATCCCTGTGCAGATTTTACTGAAAAACATTGATCAAAAGCGCACAAAAAAATGTGAACTTGCAGTTTTCAAGGACACTCAAGGTTTGGAAATTACCAGGCTTTGACGTCCATTTCCTCGCTAATTTTACTCTCTAACACCAGGCGATCCCCACCTCCTTCAATCGTAATTATCTCAAGATAGATGGGTACTGTTTTCAACAAAAGCAAGCAAAATAAACAAGCCGTTAGACGATTCCAATAAATCCATTTGCTCAAATTTTGACAACCACCTGATTCCACCGTTTCGTGACATTAAATTTGTTTGGGAATGTATCGCACCAGTTACTGTGGCCCGAATAATGCAGCGGGGTCAGCCGAAATGGGGGGTCTTTTTTATTATTTAAACAAAGCAAATCAAGCGCAAGGCGTACAGATTGAGGCAATTTGTTTTCTAGACACTCCCAGTGCATGCCTTTTGAAGCAAAACTGTTAGACTACTTTGCCAACATTTTAGATCACTTGAACGTTGTAAATTAAGATGTTGCTTTCCGTAACTCTCCCAATTTCTCTTGTTGAATGTTCCTTGGTGTATAATTATTTCTTTCCCTCCGGGGAGGAGTAATTGTCATGAATACTGGATTCCTTTCCAGACTGGGTGGTTTCCGTGATTTGCGCTAATTGGTCAACTACTATTGATTGCTTTAGTACATGGGGACTTAAAAATACCTGCTATCAGGAGCGAGGACGTTCAGAAAGCAACATTTCAAGGAGAACTAAAAATATTGTCTAAAATTTAGGAAAAATTGCACCCACAATATATATCATCTTGTATTTGTCCCTCAACACAATTTAGAATTAGAATTTGAATTTCGACCTACCATTCCACTAGTAGCCTAATGCAACCTATACCACAGATTAAGATACTTCAATATTAAAAAGAAAATCAATTTTGTGTTAAGCATAACTGAATATTTGATCAACGATTAAGGAAAGTATGGGACAACAGCCTAGTTCCTGCAGGAATGTGTCCGTGTTTGTCTACAATAGCTGTTTGAACACTTCTTCGTGTGCGTATCCCTACAATCAGCTCCTAGAGCAGGCGATGTTTCCAAGCGCTCCCTTATCTAGGTAAAGCTACTACTGCCACGCCCAGCGTTGCTTGGTCTATGATGATCGGACCAGAATCAGGAAGTTCAAAGTGACGTGGCTGTATGGTCGCTTGAACCCTGACGTCACTGTCAACGATCGGACATTTTACAGTAATCATAATTTTCTTTTCTTTTTAAAAAAAAGAGAAATATGAATAGGAAAGAGGCATAAACTGGGGTGTAAGTCTACTTGACGTTGACATATTATGGCTGAATCACAGAATTCTATAAATAAGTGAAGAATTCTGTGGGCCTGACAAATGTCAAAAGTTCCCAACAGTTACGAGAAATCATCGATTTCGGGTTTTCTTATAATACAAATGTATTTCAGATATGATATCTACATTTAAAAAATAGTGCTTCAACGGTTGATCTCACACCCTAAAGAGAACGTCATTCCCTATGCTACACAGCCGATATTGTAA